GGGGGGGGGGTGTCTTTGCGAGGCAGGAGGCCGGGGGAAGCCGGGATGGGGCGAGGGGAAGGGGCCCAGGGCTGGCGGGGGATGCGGGTGCCCGGGGAAGGGAAGGAGAAGGCATCGCCGCGGCTTCTCCTCTCCCAAGGACCGGTGCTTTTGGGGTTATCGGCGGCGAATTTTTCGGACAGGGACGAGGAATAAGGAAGCCACAACAAAAAGATGTAGGAAAGAGCTGGTTGGGGGGGGCAGCCCGAGCCGGGGATACCCAGCTTCCTTCCGCGCCCGGCAAATGCAAGGAGAAGAGGGGGAATTTCCAGCCCTCCGCGCTCGGGAAGGGCCGGATCGGGGGCGAAATGACCCCAAATCCCATCCCCTGCGCTATGCCAGGGGCTGTCCCCACCATCCATCCGCCTTCCTGGCTTTTGTTTTGCTGGAGGAGACCCCAAACGCCAGGTCCGAGGAGCGCGCTAAGCTTTTTTTTTTTTTTTTTTTTCCGCCCAGCCAGAAGGATTTTATATTATACAATTTGACATTGATCTTTTAAATCGCCTGAGCTGTGCTTTTTTTGTTTGCTCGGTCTCGTCGCGTCGGCTTCCCTGTCCTCAGAGAGAGATGCCTTCCCCCCCCTTCGCCCCCCCGGCCCCGGTAAGCTGATTGCCGGGCTCCTTTTATTCCGCGGGGGGCGGTCGGGCAGGGCTCACCCCCGGCGGCTGCGGGAGGCGCCCGGTTCCCGCTCCCCCGCCAGGGCACCCGGGGGGCCAGGGTGGGCAGGGGGACCGCTCCAGCTCCGTGGTGGGCTAACTCAGCCCCTTAGCGGGAGCTGGATGCGTATTCCCACCTTGGCTTTCCCCCCCCCTCTTGCCTATATAATTAAAGCCTTGAAGACCTCGGCACCGCCGAGTGCCAAAATCTGCGTTTCATCCCCAAAACGTGTGCGTTGGCTTTCCCTCTCCTCGCAGGCCAGGTAGCGGATGTTATTAGATGCTTTTAAAGTCCATTTACAAGCAGCTGTCTTCCCGGCAGGGTGTGTGTAATTGGGGGTGTATGTAATTTGGGGGGGTGGGATGTGATTCGGGGTGTCGGGAGAGGCAGCGGGTGGCTGGGGCGGGGAGCGAGGGCAGTGTGGGGGTGTGTGGGGGGGTTACAGCTCTCTTTGGGGGGTGGGCAGAGCCCACCTCGCACCCCAACCTTGCCTCCCAAACCCCATCGGCTTTGTCCGCACAGAGCACCCTGTCTGTGCTGCTCAAACCCCAGCCGAGGTGAGGGGTTTGGCTGGGTTTTGGGGTCGCTTCCCAGCCAGGAGGGGTTTTTTTTTCGGGAGGGAGGGGGGCCAGAAAAGCAGATTTGGCCCCCAAAATGGAGTCGGCTGAAACACACCGTGTTCTTTCTTTTCTTTCTTTCTCTCTTTCTTTCTCTCCTTCCCCGGGAATGGATGAAGCGGCTGGCAATTTCTCCCTTGGCTTCTGCGGGCAGAGTAGCTTGCGCTCGTTATTGTGGGGAATTAAAGGTTTCGAAAAGACATACGAAGAGGTGGAGAATTATATGAACATATCCGCTCAGCCTCTGAGAGCGCGTAGAATGTCTTTCTATAAAACAAACAAACAAAAAAAAGCTGGAATTTTGGACGACAGGCAGTGAATATTCTATATTTCGACAAAGGGCGGTATAAAAAAAGTGGTATAAACGCTGCTGGATCTCCCGAGCGGGCTGGGGGGTGACACTGCGGGGGTGACCCCAGCTGCGGGGAGGGCACAAACCAACCCCCTTCCCAAA